TAGCAGAATTAATTGTATGTTGTTAGCTTTAATATTAGAATGAATTTACCTATTATTAAACTTAAAGATAAGCACATTATTTTTATTAATACATTAGATTTCAATGATTATATTTCAATTTTTAAATAAATTATAAGTAGGTAGGTATATAACATAAATTCAATTAATTTTCTAACCTTTATGTTTGATGAAATGTTCATTAATAATACTATAGTTATCTTTTTTAAATAACAACATAAAGTAATTCATAATAACTACCTACTATTTATATTATGGTGGAGTGGGGAATACATTATTAGCCTCACAAAAAAAATACTACCAGAATCCACTTCTACATTAATATTAAGCTAAGTAGAAATTACTAAATCTAATTATTGAATCAAATTGAGGTGTTAATTATTACCGAATTGACCAGTAAAATATGAATAAGGTATAAATAAGTGTAGACAATAAAAGTACTTACTTATTTTAAATCATTTCAACATTATATTTATATTTTATTTGATTCAAACACAATGAGGACAACATCAAGGAGATTAATGTTAAAAATATATTATAAAAACGGCCTTGAATAGTATGAAATATCTATTGGTCATACAACTATTTCCGGAATTTTAGGCTATCTACACACTTTCGATCCTGAATTTTTAAAACGCAACGGATTTGTAAGTTGTCGTAACATAATAAAAACTACAATAATGTAAGAAATAAACACAAACATACAGTAGACATACTAAAACTACTTTACAGATTACAGTCTACAGAGCTGTACAGACGGTAGTTATCTATTTTCAATATATTGTGGTAACTCAAATTTTGGTATTTGGTAACATGGTACACGCTTATCAGGTTTCTCCAGTTGATAACATATCCCCCACTTCTACTACCACATAATAACAACAATGTGATTACCACAATAAAAATTAAATTTGAAATTTCACTTGAATTTATTATTTTATATTATTTTGTTATATTTATTATAGGTACAAATAAATTTTATCATCGGCGTCGGACTACACAGTTTTAACAATCACGACCACGAAATGTGTGTTATATATTATAGTAATAATTGTTATAATGTTGTAAACACGTTATATATATATAATATTTATATATTATGTATGAAGTTATGTTGTATTTTATATTATCAAGCAAACCAACAAGCTATAAACCACGATAGTAATAAGTACTTTAAAATAGTGCGACAACGAGGGTTGAATTCAGTGGCGGCGGCGGCGGCGTTAGTACCGGACGCCGGTCGCGCACTAGAGCGTCAACCGCAATCGGAAAAATAGGACGCGACCGATCACAATTTTGAAACAGACTCGACAATAGTATTTACTGACATGAAACGCGAGCATAATATGTCTACAACTAACTGATAACTATAACATTACCTCTGTCGGTGTGGACGAATACGTCTAATGCCGGTGCATTGCGCGATGGTTTCCTGAATTCGGGCACTTGTTGGATCACAGAGTACGATGATCCGAGGACAAGCTGCTGCGAAAAGTTTTGGATAATCGGACGAAACAATATTATTAATATAATAACAACAAAATAAGAACGAGTAACACACACGAGTATTAATATTTAGTTTAACATTTCAATCGTGATAACCGGGATTCGGAAATTCGTATAAATATGATTATTAAATCTGTAAACAATTGTATATTGTTATTGCTATGAACATGTTGTGCGCGGACGTTGTTTACGGTGTTGCCAACTGCCAACATGCCTCAATCATGCACGTGCAAATGTTCCGGTGCCAGTGTCGCCGCCGAGAACTGCTGGCATTTCATCGTAGAACATCGTCCTAATAGATTACCGCTTACGATCGGACGTGGCCGACGATCATTTAAGCCAAAATATACCAATCTTTTGTCCTTCATTCTGGTCGACCTAGTAATGCTATAATACTTTTTAAAATGATTTGAATTCGTTATTACATATTCCTGAGGTCGGTCAGTCCACTTTTCTCGATTTCACCGTCCTAACACATCATACTAGTATAATACTACTGTACATTGAGTTTGAATATTTTGAAATTTCGGAATTTTCAAAGTTGATGATTATTTGAAATTCAAATAGGAAATTTTAAAATGTAGACTGACCGATCTCAAGTATACATTATAACGAACTCAGATCAGTTTTCCGAAATTTTTTCGCATTATTAGGTCGATCCGTTAGATCAATATGGACAAAAAGTGCATACAATTGTGCATATTAAATTGGTTACCGCTCACACGCACATAATATGCTGTTGCGCTCGCTATTTCCTTTGAACACCGTCACACACACTAATGACCGCTTACTGCGCACAAATGTACTATAGACCCGCATCCATCTATTTAAAAAAATTGCCTATTTCAAACTCCTTAAAAACTATGGGCCACCAATATTTCCTTGATTTATTTTTAATCGTGCTACCTATAAATAGTGAATACTGATCGACTTAGATGTTGAATGCTACAGTGCAATATACTATATTCTAGATACCTACTTTTATACCGTATGTAGACATGTACCTAGTTGTAAAGAGAGTTATGAGTAGGGCGCGGATTTTAATACCCTAAAAAAACCTAAAAATGCCCTAGAAAAAGGCAATTATGACCTAAAAAATTCAATTAATGACGTAAAAAAATGTACTAAAAATGTGAAAAAAAATGCACAACATTTTTTTTATTTTATTAAAATTTAATTAATGACATAAAAAAATAGAATATTTAGAAGATAGCAATAACAGAAATAGCTGATTAGAAAGATATGTAGGTTAAAATAAAACTATATTTCGTTGAAAAACGGAAATTCTATCCTCTGACGGGACTATTAATAGTGTGGCTAGTCCCACTATGTACACTATACACACGTAGTCCGTTTTATTGTTATTGTCATCGACTATTATCATTTAACACAATTCATAATAATATATGAAACAGACGATAAAGTGTAGTTTTCAATAATTTAGTAAAAGAAAAATATTGAATACTTGAAATTTTTTTATTTCCCTCCAAAAATGCTACATTTTTCGAAAATATGAAAATAATAACCTTAAAAGTAGCGAAAATGACCAAAAATGCCTTAAAGAAGTAAAAACGACAAAAAATGCAAAATAAAAATTGAATGACATGAATCTAACACCACTTGAAACGCATTTTTGCCAAACTGAGCATTGCGTAAGGATTTAGGAAAAAAAATGCATTTTGCATTGAAATCCGCGCCCTAGTTATGAGTATTTGAAAATTGTAAATTGTTTGTACAACTTAAAATACTCATGAAGTCATAACTCTCTTTAAAATTAAAATATAATAAAAAGCCCATGAAAAGACCTCCATAATAATCTTACCTTTAATTTTAATAAGACGTTAATTCACTCTAATTTTTAAGCTAACTGAGCTAAACGTGATCTGTTGAACTTAAAATTTGATATGTTACGCTCTGGTAAGACGAAAACAATACGTGTAGCGTCATCTTAAAAGACGTTTCCAAACAATTATTGTTGATTAAAAAATATCAATACTACCACGCGGCCCGCGCCTCATAATTTAGGAACCGCTGATCCAGATACAAGATACTAGACACAATAATTTTAAATAATCATGTAGTCAAGAATCACGATATATTGTACACTTTCAACTTTTCTTAGTATAGATATTATAATAATATATTTATATCATACAGATATTAAAATTCAAAATAGTTTAAATATTTTTTGGTTTTTAAACTACCTCCACTCTCCAGTATATAGCCTCGCCACACTAATAGTAAACAGCACCCAAATCTGGGTCTCAAAATAGATGTATACATAATACCATTGATTATATTATACTTAATTAATAATATATAATCAACGATAATACATTTAGAACAAATTGGGAGTTTTGCTTTTAAAATTGGACGAAGTAGTAAGATGTAGTCAGCTGTAGAATATTTTTCTTTTTAGATTAAGGTGGGGGCTCAAGTTAGTATTTTATCAAGAGTTGTGCCGAGATATTTGACATCAGGGGATAATAGGAATTGAGTACCCTCAACGTAAACAGGTAGATGGTAGGTTCTTTTTAAGGAAAATGGTACATAAATACATAATATACAAATTGTCTGAATTTATTTTAATTCTCCACTTAAGTGCCCAGTTTTCAATTGAAACTAAGTGGATTTATAGTAGGTTGGGATATATATTAATTTGTGTAACAGGGTGATTACTGATTAATAATAATGTCTTTACGGTATGAATCATAGAGTAATTACTCTATGGTATGAATCAATACTGTTTAATTCTCATTAGCCAGGGTTTCTAAAACAGAGCAATTAATTCCCAAATATTATATTGAAACTACATTTTTATTTGTACAAAATACAAATTTTGAATGATAAAAAAAACCAACAAACTTTTTTTGGTATTTAGAAAAATCGAATCTTCAAAGCAAAGTCTAAAACTGAAATCTTATGTTACGGTGACTGCAGTCGAAGCCGTGGTACTCATTTGTTACTGTGCTAATTTACAATTTACTTTGCAAACGATTTCTGGAGAGGTGGAAAACATATTGACCACAAGTCTCAGCAAATATGCCACAAATAGAACTTGGAGATTATTTTGGAATCAATTTCAACAAAAATATCATTGTTGCGGTAGTTCCCAAAATACTGATTGGTTCCAAACAGCTTGGGTTTCACCAATTGCTGTAACCTCATTTTCTCTACTAAAAAAGTACAAAATAATATTTCATAAATTGGAATGATATTATTTAAAGTGTTATTCAAGATACACACAGCAAAATGGAAAATTCATTATACCAGCTGCACCCATAAGTTGTTGTTTACGTGACGCTATTTGTATTACATTCATCGATTGTGAACAACCTGATCCAGAAAAATATTATCAAAATAGTTGCTCTTCAATAATAGCTAATCGAATCAACTCTATAGCATACACAAGATACTCATTTTACGCTATATTAGTTATCCAGGTAATAATAATACAAGTGAATAAAATAGTTAAATAATTGTATAAATACTTTAATAATGATAAATGAAGTAGATACAAGTGTACAACAATATTGAGGTGATATCAAATTAACATTTATTAATTTTAATAACATAAGTTTTTCTCATCTAACAGTAAGTAAATAAAATCAATTAGTTTTCTTTTAAAGGTAATAATAATTTATAGATCAATACTGAATATTTATAGAATTCTTCCAAAAGTTGTTCATATAACATAATTAGAGTAAATTTAGTTAAATGTTTGTGCATATAATTTTATAGTTATAGCTATATCCACATATTAATTTATATGCTTTTAATTTTAGATTATTTCTGCTGTTGTAAAATATGAAGGCTACATAGAAAACAATCACAATCCAAAAACATAGAAATTATAGAAGAGAAACATATATATTTTTTTTATATTCTAGAAGTAGTTAATGTATCTTAACTTAATTAAATTACTTTTACAATGTTATCATTATTTATCAATTATCACATCATTGTTTTTTTAATTTGTCTGAGATATTGGGTTTTCCGAATCAATTTTTTTGTTCTAAAGAAAATGAAAATAATTTTTTAACTTATTGATTTATTTTCAAACAATATCTTATAACTTACATGACTATTTTTTTCAGATTTCACTTGAGATATTAGATCAGAAAGCATGCTAATCAAAGGATGCGTGTCTATTAAGCGATCTTCTCGGACAGCACTACCCAAAAAATGACCATGTAATAATTCTAAAGTGCTTAAATATAACTGTTTTCCTAGAATTGGTAACTAAAAATCATTGTAATAATTAAACATTTTTTCAACAGTTTCAATTTTTATGTTACAATTGATTAATAAAATATAAAATTAAATTGCATACTGATGGTAGTTCATAAATTTTATCTTCGGAGTTATCTTTATTAGTTTTTTGTACTTTTTCTGGAATTTCACAATCCTCAATTAATGTACGTTTGTTAAAAGCCTTTACTCCAATTAATCTTTTTCTTTCTATTTCTTCTTCTTTTAACATGTCTCTCCTTGGACAACTACAAACTTTTACACCAATTTTTTTTCTACCTAATACTTGTCCACTAAAACAAAACAAAAAAGTATTAGATTCATTGTTTAAAAATAATTAAAAATAATTATTATATAATAGACATCTTACCTTAAAGTTTCTAAAGTAAAAATTACATAAATGGGTCTTCGACTTAGACTCATACTACAACTAGATTTACACATAAATTTATATAACACATTGTAAGTCTTAAAATCAGAACAAGGTACAAAATTATGAACAATGGCAACAACACTGTGCCTTTGGCTTATGGGATTTTGTTCATATACTGCATCTATTTGTTCACACCAAAGTATATGTTCCATTTTTTTTCTATCTAAACGCAAATTAATTTATTTGGTAAGTAAAATTAACTTTGAATTAGTAGGTTTATAGCCAAATATTTTTTTATACCACACAATTTATCCTGCATAATATGTATAGGACAACGTTTGATGCACAATTGTTGAAATTCAGAATTTGCAAAAATTGGTAAAGCACGTATTTGAAGGTTTTTTATTCCTAATAATCCAATATCATCAAAACGCCATTGAAACTGAATAGGTAATACTCGATTCATATCAATGTATACTTTATTCAAAGCGGCAGAATACTAAAACATAAAATAATAATATATTCATCAGACAACTTCCTAATTTAAAAAGACACAACATACTATACAGGATACATAAAACATTTCGATAAATTAAACTACTGCAATATTTTAGCTTTACAAGAAATATCAAAAATGGATTTAATGATTTATCTTATTAATTTATTCAAATAAACAGATATTAACTCTAATAATATGTAAAAGTAAATCAACAATTTTATTTATATTTCAAATGCTATCTAAATAAATAAATCTGTTTTTTAATCAGAAAATCACAAATAAAACATTATTTGATTTACTAGAGACAACAAATAGGTACTTGCCATCCAATGCCTTTTAGAAATTTCTGTAACATCTAATGAAAAATCAAAATTAAATTGCCCAGGATAATCTTCAGTACAAATTTGTAAACCGGTTTGTCTTAAATGTTGGTAACAAGATTCCGATTCTTCACTGAAAGACGGTGATTCAGTGTCAGCTTCGCTATTCGCCACCTATTATCATTTGTAGCATACATAAATAGTTTAGCTAAAACTTAATAAATTAACCTTATGAGTTATAGTTATAGGTACCAATTTATTTTTTTTTTTATTGAACTTAAATACTAAAATACATGCATGGATAAAAGTGAATAATAACTCACCTCAATTATTTCCTCATTTTCAAATTTAATAGTATCCATTACATGTACACGTGGTATAATTAAACTATTAAACCGATATGAAATATGAATAGTAAATGGTTACAAGTTTAAAAGTTTACAATTTTGGGTGATTGTGAAGCATGTAATGACAAGCTATTTCAAGTCTAAACAAGTTCAGACTTTCAGAGATAAGATTAAAGATACCGTTGAAACCACAGCCATGGTATAGTAGTTGTTTTCGTTACCGTAGACGACATATCATCGAAAAACACCTTCCACCACAGCAGAGCTGCCTGCAGCTGTCGACGTGCCTCACGGACTACTACAGTTGTAAGTAAGTTGTCCGTGCCGTGCCTTCAACTTCAACACACACAATATTTTGTTCTATTTACTATTTGTTCCAACAACGATTTGTACTTTGCTTTGCAATATTCTTTATGACAATATTCCATGAAAACGTGACTTATCAACAATCAGTCATTTTTATCAGTAAAATACTGAAATGTCTAATATAAACACGAAGAAATACTTACGTATTATAAATTAATAATTATATTATAGTTTTTAAGTATTTTTTAATCGTGATAAAAATTCATAAATGTTTACCCGCTGTTGTATAAAACTATAAACTGTACGTCCGGACGCATAATGTATATGAATGTAATGTGTATAGAACAATAATCCAAAATATGTCTTACAGTATGTATCTACTGTAAAAATGTCAATACAATTAAAAAATAAAAAGAAGAATCTCAATTTTTTTCACTAAAACCTGATCAGTATGGCTGAATTGAAACAAAAACTAAAGAATCTCTTAGATACCAAGGTGTGTTTAATGTTTATGAACTTAACTACTCTTAATTATATCTTTATGTTGCATGGAAATATCTATTTGGTTAACATTTTCAATCATATGTTAATATAGCCATAGGTATTACTAATTATAGTATAATACTGTGAGGAAGTCACTCTGCCACATTTTCTAGTATTGAGCGTTCCTCTTCATTGAGTAGGTCCAGGCACGTGCGCAAAAAAATTTTGGGGAGGGATTCATAAACAAATTGTCACCGACCAGTTATTGTAATTTGTAGTTATCGATGATTGATATAAATAAATTACACAACTATTAATTTGGGGGGGGGGGGTGAACCCCTAAATGTATAATAATTCATAACTATTATTTTGTTTTAAATTTTTATAGACTGCTGTGAAAGTTCCACTCATAGGATCTCAAGACTTTTGGGATATTTCTAGCAGAAAAAGTGACTCACTTTTATTAAAAGCTGTGAATAATGAAAAATTTGTTGAAAAATGTGATGCTGAACTTATATCAAATATAGATCAAGTATATTTTAACAGTTCTGATTTTGATTTTGCTAAATTTGAACTAGAAGTAAGTCTTAAACCATTATTTAATATTATTTATTGTATATAATCTGTTCACCGAGAAAACAAAATATAAATATTTGCTCTTCAAATGTATGTATAATTGTGACACTATTTTCTCGGTGAACTAGTCATTTTGAATGTTATTTAAATTAACACATTACTTCTTCTAGAAATTGCCAAGAGTCCTTGATAAAAAATTGATTGCCAATGACGTAAAAAAACTAAGGGCGCAACATGAAATCGTTGAGAAACAGTTGCTACAATTGATTCTTGAAAATCAAGCTGCATGTGATGACGAATTAGACAAGTAACTAATTTTTATAATTATTGTTAATTATTTATATCATCTAAAAAATTTTTCACAGAATTGGAATGTTGCAAAATAATTTAAAATCTAGTATAGAAAATTGTGAACATGCTAAGAATCGCTTAAAACTAGCTAAAAGACAAATCACTACAGCTGGTTTGGGTCTTTTGGGCAATTGCAGAAAAAAATCTTTAATCCTTGATTTATTAAATTCTTTAAATAGTGTCAAAATGCTGGTAAGATAAAATGCAACAGTTTGTTTTTGTGTTTTCTTTAAAAAAAATGTAAATTTTTAGTTACAAACTGAAAAAAAACTTGAAGAATTAGTGTCTCAAGCTAACTATGCTAAAGGAATAGCATTACTCTTAGAATGTACTCAAGGTGCTTCCTCTTTTAAACAATTTACTTGCATTGCTGCATTATCTGTTAAACTCCAAGATGCATTAATTATGACAGAAGAGCAATTAGACATTGTCTTGTCTAATGTACGTAAAATCAAACAATTATTTAGACAATGTATGAAAAAAGTGAAATAGCAATATGTTTCTTGTATAAATATGTTGATATAGATGTGTTTCAATTTTGATAATGAAAAGTATTCAGCGGTTCAAGAAGCTTATAGACGCTTGGGTAAAACAAGAATTGCTATTGACCAATTGCATATGCATTATACATCAGCAGTCCACAGTACTTCGTTTGATACAATCAATTTATTTGTTAATACAGATAAGGTGGAAAACAATAAAAACTCCTTTGCCCTTCTGTGCCAGGTTATTTGTTATATTTTATATTTTATTTTTTTAACTACTTCTGTGTTTTAACAATGTTACATTATTTTCAAAATAGTGTGTTCCCGATGAACAGTTAATTCCATGCCTTATTGCATTAAGTAAAATATTTTGGAACATATTACAAAGCTATAAGAAAGCGGCAGATTGGCATAGAGAATTTAAAGATATTAGTACAGATAGTGAAGGTATAAATATTATTAGTATCGTGCACACAACTTCTTAACTTTGCATATTGTTGGTTGTTTTAAGTTTTTCGATACTATTTGTTTTTATAATGTTTACCACAAATGTGTTTCAGATGACATTGAAGAATATGTAAATCAAGAATATATAAGTAAAAAATTTGAAATAGGTCCGACAAGATTATGGGGTGACATCATTACCAAAATATCTAATTTAGTATTCAATTCCAATATGACAAAATTCAAATTTGACGACTTTCTTCAAGTGTTGTCTATACTAAACAAGTATTAAAGTTATCTATTTTTAAAAAAAATTAGTTAACCAGACACTTTTTTCTTAAATTATTTTAATTGATGTAGTTTTACACATTAATTTAAATTTTAAACTGCAATCTGGTATTACTACATTATTAGTTAAACTTGTTTATATATAATTTAATGGTGTAATATTTATAGCCATTTCATCTATGAAGTTCTTAGTTTTTTTAATTTCAAAATTTAACTAATTATGAACATTTTGTGTTATTGCTTAACCATATCATATGCTACTAGCTCTGATTACCATACTAAGTTCTTGTGTACCTCTCAAAGTTTTGGGGCTTGGCCTCTTTCTCTTTTGAGAAGATTTGAAAGGAAACCTGATATATATTTTACCTCAATAGCTATCAAGTGCATTTCTGACTTCAATCACCATTTTAAAAGTCCTGCAAACTATATTTCCAATCCATAAGTAATGAATGATGTATTGAAGTACTTTAATTAATTCATTCATTTTTATGGAATTGTGGTTAAACAATTACACATTACGGATGTGTATTTATACCTAAATGCATATATGATGAAAATCTATATACATATTTTCTAACTGAATAATTAAGTCTAAACAAAAGAGGTTTTAGCTGTATATTTTAAATCCGTAGAAGGTAAACTAATTTTCATGTTTTATATCATATTTCTTCAAGTTTGAGTTAGTAATTTCAATACAATAAAATATCAACATAAATACCATGTTATTTATAGTAATAGATTGATAATGTATTATTTTTAATATAATATTATATCTTAGGCATATTAAAATTGGTGAAGAATTTTGTAATAGTAAATCAGAACAATTACAAAATGATACTAAAAAGTCTTGTATCAGTTATTTTCATACCTATCATAAAAACTGTCTAGACGAGCTTACAATATTTTTTGAAAACGAAAGTTGGACTCCATGTCCAGTGAAACGTGAATTTAATTTATTTCAATTGCAGGTAAGAAAATAATAAAATACTTGAATATTTAGTTATTCAATTAAATTGATATACATTTACTTTTATCATAAGGAATTTAGAACAATTAAAAATCATGTTCAAAAAACTGATTCTTCTCGTCAAACTCATAGTAGAAATTCATCTATGGACAGTAGCTCTATTAGTACAAGCGAATATTTTCATTTCGCATCAGATAAATCACCATTTGATAATGATTTAAATACTACATACTGTGAAGATATATTAGATACAGAAGTAATAACAAACATATTTTAATATATTTTGTACATTTTTAGTACTAATATATTGATATTTTTTTTTTAGATGGATGGAAATAGTGTATGTAGTGATGATACCAATAATAGTTATGAAGACACAGATAATTATAATATAACAGCAGATAACTATGAAAGACCACCTTTGCTTACAAATACAACACTGACAGTAATGAGGCATTGTGGAAAGTACTTAAAAATATGTAACATATTAAAATCAATATCAGAAGATGTAGTCACTTGCTTATGTCAGCTGTTTGAATATTATCTATATTCAGTCCATTTGCTATTTACATCAGACATACTGGTAAGAACAAAAAATATTTTCTACATTTTATCCATGGAATAACCTTGTATGTTATTTGTAGCCTCAGATATGTAGTGGTGTAAATAGTGTAAAACTTCAATCAGTAATAACTAGAATATGCAACACTTTGATTCAATGTAATCATGAAAATGAAACAAATCAAGATCCATTTGTAAGTATTTATAATTAAACATGGCTGTGCAAGGTTACTAATATTTTTATCTACAATTGCTTTAAAGCATTATCAGTCCAAAACTCTAAATTAATTTAGTATTTACAATATTTTGTTCATCAATTATAATTATTTTTTTCTTTATAATATATTTTTAATTTATGGAGTTCATATTAGAATATATATTATGGAAGTATCTCAACAAACTTATTTAGCCTCAATATATTTTTTAATTGTGTATTGATCATACTATATATTGTTGTATGTGCTCTATTGCAGATTGCAATCTACCGGTGGTTATGGATGCATGTGATATATTGTGTACTATAGTGGCAAGGTAGTTAATACTTCAATAATAGT